TATTATTATTATTATTATTATTATTATTATTATTATTATTATTAATATTATTAATTATTATTATTATTATTATTATTATTATTATTATTATTATTATTATTATTATTATTATTATTATTATTATTATTATTATTATTATTATTATTATTATTATTATTATTATTATTATTATTATTATTATTATTATTATTATTATTATTATTATTATTATTATTATTATTATTATTATTATTATTATTATTATTATTATTATTATTATTATTATTATTATTATTATTATTATTATTATTATTATTATTATTATTATTATTATTATTATTATTATTATTATTATTATTATTATTATTATTATTATTATTATTATTATTATTATTATTATTATTATTATTATTATTATTATTATTATTATTATTATTATTATTATTATTATTATTATTATTATTATTATTATTATTATTATTATTATTATTATTATTATTATTATTATTATTATTATTATTATTATTATTATTATTTTCGTGATCTCAGCACATGCTGGTATAATTTTTCGCTATACAAAATGTATGAGCTCGGACAACCTAGCAGGGAAACAATTCAGTTTAACCCACTTAGGTACCGTTTAAGAACCTGCGAACGATGTGGCAGGTTTGCAAAATGACTGCTTTCTGTGCATATGTCACTATGTTTTTTGATAATCCTATATCTTGGAGATTTTTACTGAAGTGTTTCGATATAATTCCCTCCGCTGACATTACCAGTGGGACTATGGAGACTTCGTCTAGTTTCCAGATGTTCTTTAATTCATATGACAGATTTTCATATTTCCTGATCTTCTCGGTCTCGGTTTTAGTGACGTTGTATGACAGTGGTACAGCTATATCGATGATCAATCCTGTTTTCTTTTGTTTATCGATAATGACGATGTCTGGTCTATTGTGGTCGACTGTCCTGTCCGTTGTTACTGGCCTATCCCAGTACAGCACCGTTTCTGTTGATTCCAGAACAGCTGCGGGCTGATATTTATAGTAAGGTGGGCATGAGCTCAGGAGACCGTTGTTTAAAGCAAGTTGTTGGTGGATGATCTTGGCAACTTGGTTGTGACGTCCTAGGTATGCGTTGTCTGCTTGGTACCGACATCCTGCTATTATGTGTTCGATAGTTTCACCCACTGATCCGCATTTTCTGCATCTGTCTTCGACCTCTAGTTTTAGGCAGTGTTTCTCATAATTTCGTGTTCTCATAACTCTGTCCTGAATAGCCATTATGAATCCTTCTGTTTCCGGATATAGATAACAAGCGTCAAGCCAAGCCAATGATGGTGCCTTATCGATGTTATCTAACTCCAGACTCTTTGGAAATTTTCCGTGCAGAGCTCGTTCCGCCCATGTTTCTTGATCTTCTTGTCTTGTGCTTATATCAAACAAAAGATGATGGTGCTGTAAGTTAAGAGGTGTATACCCTCGATCTTCTTGGGTAGCTAACCTCATTAGACTATCTTCCGACTCAAGCAATCGCTGTCTTAGTTTTACCTCCTGTGTCCTGCATAGTTTATAAATGTTAACCATTCCTCGGCCACCGTTCTTTCGGGGGAGATATATTCTCTTGACCGATGCATTAGGGTGTAGACATCGGAATTTGGTCATTAGACGTCGGGTTAAGCGATCAAGCTCATTTAGATCAGCATCGGACCATTTCAGGATGCCAAATGTGTACGTCAAGACAGGTACTGCCCATGAATTTAGAGCGACAATCTGATTCTTCGCTGACAGCTTTGTATTTAAAATTTTTAGTACTCTCTTTTTGTATTTTTCCGTGAATACTTTTTTAAGTTGCGTGTGGTCTATACGCTGGTTTTGTGGTGTTCCCAAGTACTTATAAGTTTCATCTGGAGGTAGATTTTCAATATTATTGAATGGCGTTTCTTGGTTTTCTACTTTGCCCTTTTTAATGTTAATGATGGCACATTTATCAAGCCCAAAGGACATGCCTATGTCATTACTGAATGTAGATACTGTGTTAATAAGGGATTGTAGACCATTCTCATTTTCAGAGAAGAGTTTAAGGTCGTCCATATATAAAAGATGAGATAATTTTCGCCTATTTTTCAAATTGAGTCTATACCCGATATTTGTTTTATTCAGGAGAGTAGATATAGGGTTCAATGCTAGGCAGAACCATACAGGCGATAGGGAGTCTCCTTGGAATATCCCTCCTGATATTCGTACATTACCAGCGTTCTTGTTATTCATCAAAATATTAGTTCTCCAGGTACCCATGAGATGTTCGAGCACCACCCTTATTTTGGGGCATATTTTGTAGATTTCCAGCACTTTTACAAGCCAGTCGTGAGGAACCGAGTCAAAGGCCTTACGGTAGTCTATATAGCAGATGTTAAGATTCCTTTTTTTAATCTGAACTTGTTTAACAGCCACTGCGTCAATGGAAAGTTGATGTTTGCATCCGGCTGAATGTCTAATACACCCTTTTTGCTCTTCTTGCAATATATTGTTTGCGGTACAGTGCTGATATATGCTATTGTTGATAAGTGATGTAAAAAGTTTATATACAACTGATAGACATGTTATAGGCCTGTAGTTCTTGGGTTTACTAGGGTCACCGTTCTTAAATAACATGAAGGTATTTCCCTCAGTGAGAAAGTTAGGAAACTTTGAGGGGTCATCTAGTGCCTCCGTGAAACAACGCGCCAAACTTGGAAAGCAGGCCGGTAGATTTTTAATCCAAAAATTGTGAAGTCGGTCTGGTCCCGGTGACTTCCAATTGCTGGTGTTTCTAATGCTCTGGGAAATATTATCAACAGTAAATCGTTCAAATCCCATTTCTACGATTTCCGCAGAGTGTTGTTCGATTTCCGCTACCCATTCTGCATCTCTATTATACTGTACTGGCTCTGACCAGATAGAGCTCCAGTAGTTGCAAAATTCTTCGTTATTGGTTGGGATTTGTTCTCGGCTTTGATTCTCTGATGTTTCTAGGTTTCTAAAGAATTTTTTCCTATTAGTCATGAAGTCAGCATTTTGTTGTTTTCTTTTAGTTAGTTATTATTATTATTATTATTATTATTATTATTATTATTTTAAAGATTAATGCTTTTTTTTAAATTTCCTTTTTTTGATATGATAAAAAGAAACGAAGTCACTAAATTTTGCTCTCAATTAATTTAAAAAATGTTTATTTTAATTAATTCCAGCCTGAGGACATGTAGAAGATCCCCCGTATTTCTGTTTCCCAGAAATTGCCGTTTTTCAACAATTGCGAATACTCTCGTAGGTTAAAATATTCCTATATTTGCCGAAATCCGAATGGGCATTTTGTAGAGTCGATTTCGTACTAATTATCTACTTTTAATTGTCAAGGTACTAGAAGGACATTATTTTTATTTTTAAATTGTAAACAGTCGGCTGTAGTAGTGGTATCCCCCACTCGGGCTTACCGAAAAGCATAAATTCAATCACTCTGGGAATTACGCCCTTCGATAGTGCCTAGTAAATACTCCGTGAGTGCCGTGATTTCGAAAAAGTTCATTGAATAACCCCGTTTATCTTCTAAGGTAGGAACCGTATATTATTTTTTATATCAACTTTTATATAATTAGTTGGGACACCCGTGCGACAAGTGAAAAATTTTGATTCTTATCCAAGATATTTCATTTCATCCCTCAGTGGGGAATCTTTGGCATTTTTTTTATTTGAGGCTGGACGTAAACTAGACTCTGAGTGCTCTCATTGTCAACGACTATATCCAATCTCTCTTAGAAACCGCCCTGTTAACATTGAAGTGAGCGGTTCAACCCGTTTCCAATTTTTTTTATTATTTTATTTTCTTTTCCGGAGGTTCGATCCGTTTCCGAGTTAGAGTGATCTCTCTCCTGACGACGTTATCTAATTTCCCAAAAATAAGTCTAAATTAATTTCCGCGCTCGAAAATGAAACTATTATTATAAAATCTACAAATAAAATAAAGTATTTGGGAATATATATCGACTCACATCTGCGATGGGAAGAACAGATTAACTATATTATAAAAAAGCTAAGATTCGTCTTATATAAATTTAGAATCCTTTCCACTTTCCTCCATGTGAGGTATTTAAAAATTCTTTACTATGGATTAGTTGAAAGTTATTTCTCATACGGTATAATAGCATGGGGTGTAGCAGGTGCCACTTTAATTAATAACTTGCAGAAAATACAAAAAAGTATATTAAAAACAATATTTCACCGACCTAGAACTCACCCAACAATAGATCTTTATCAAGAAGCTGGAGTATTAGATATTTATCAGTTATTTGCAAAAATGATTATTACAAAACAACGTAATGACAAACACACTTTACTATCAGTAAGTCATGACCACGCGACTCGATATAAATTAAATAATGTTGTAATACCTAAAGCCAAAAAACTATAGGGCAAAAAAGTTATGCTTACCTGGGTCCTAAATTATATAATGAAATACCGTTAGAATTAAAGAGCATTCAAAGTAAAAATAAAAAAATGGATATATTCCATCCCTACTGCGAACCTGCAACGTTTTATTTCAACAAATAACGAATGTTATAGTCTGGTTTACTAGTTTAATTTAATAATTTGTCTAAAAAAAAAAAAATAGTTGATAAAATGTAAATATTAAATTAAACTTAGTATCACGTAACTGTTTTTTATATTATTCCAAATATTATTTTTGTATAATTTTTCATTTTTTTATAATATTGTAATATTGTGTTTTATTAAGACTGCTCGTCCTAAATAACCAATAATAACCCATGCTCAAGGATTCTTTTTGTGGGTGTTTCTGTTTATTTATCTCGAACGAACTTACATTAATCATTATACATTGTTTTTATATTATTTTTGGTAAATAAATTATTATTATTATTAAGTACTGCCGTGCTGTTTGTACAAAATGTATTGAAGATATATTAAAAAACCTACTTCTAGCCGCCGCGACACCCATATTTTTTTTGTAGCCAGAAATATCGGCACTTACTCATTATCATCAACAGTTTTATCAACCTGTCGTTGCTTTTCGACCAGTTGATAGTAAATCTTGGTCTGCCACGTCTCGTCACTGGGCAAGATGACGTCATTGAAGTCGTCGATAGTCGCGATCATGCTTTCCGCCATCATCTGCTTCATGATTTGAGGCAGAACCGCGAAAATGTTGCCTTCCCCGAGAGAACTGAGATTCACCCATAGGGTATTGGTATCGGTCGTCTCCTCCATAATATTCGATTCTTATCAAAACGATCTGAAAAAGAAAAACCAATCGCCATCAGCCATAAATCAAAAAATAAACAGATCAAAAATTGTGAATGTCATGTGAATATCGAGGTTACGGGTTATACCAGGATTAATCAAAATGTCTTTAACATATTTATTCACATAAAAGTAGGTACAGAATTAATTTTTTTCTTACAATGACAAACTTCAAGCTGACTGTGTTAAAATGTATTGTGTGTCTAAAACCTTTTTTGGGTGTGTACATTTGGCCAGTAATAAGTCTAATATTTATAGGAAGTCTATTATCTATTTCAAAATATTAAGGAAAAAAGTAATAACAGGCAATATAATTTAGTATAATATTCTATTTTATTGCTAAATGTATTTTTTTCCAAAAATGGACAAGAGAAACTACAGTACATATTATTATTTTTCTTTTTTCATCGGCCTTAACTGCTAAGGTAAAAATTACAATTTCAATTTACCGCCATCTGTCATTTTAGTTCCTACTGCAAACACAAGGTGGCGCTAATTTGGTTTAAAAGTCTAACATTGGCGTGAGGTATCTAGGGGATACGTGTTCTGTAGTCGGCACAACCCAAATGTGAACGCTCTTTGGTTGTCATGGTATTTTTAACTGTAATTAATTGATGTAAGTCTGGCTTTGGCCAGTGGTGTTACAAAATGAGGGATAATATTGAGAATAAAACTATATTACTTTTATTTGTGCCGTTTTGTCGAATCGGTCTTATCTACATTAAATGTACAATAAAAAATTAATAGAAAATAAAATTACAAAAACAGTTTATTTATTACAAAATGAAATCAAAATTGTACGAAAATTGGTTTTTAAATGAATTGGATGCTCACTTAAATGTCAGTAAATTTGTATATTTTACGAAAAAATGCTGGAAAAAAAAAAGAACGAAGATTGTGAAGGCCTTTTAGACAAGGTGCAGGGAAGGTTTCTAATGAAAATTAAGACAATGTTCTCCTCGAAATTTAACAACACCTTTCAATGTTCTTGGCATGGACAAAATTAGATATCGTATTAGGAATCTACGAGCTCTCCCAAGTATTTTTAATAACTTCCCATAAATGACCGCAGTTTGCCGGCCTAAAGTCTCTTTGATATATCTTTTTGACTATGAAGCCCCATACATTTTCAATGGGGTTCAAGTTAGGGCTTGTTGTTATTGTTGTTGTTTTTTTTTGTGTCATCGGCTTCAACTGCTAAGGTTATTTCGCCTCGTGTTCTGTGTAGGCTTTGTTACTGTTTCCCAGCGCCACTTTAGGAACAGCACTGTTAATTAGAACCCAACAGTGAATGGTCGAGTGGGGAATCCTACCAAGGCATCAGAATTAATTTTAATTAATTAAATTAATTTAAAAAATCCCGGCCAACGGTGGGATTCGAACCTGGGACCCTTGGATCCACATCGTCGTCGTCGTCCTCGTCGTTGATTCATTGTCTTACTATTTGAGCCGTATAAACTGACTTTTATTAAAAAATTATAATAATTAATTTTTAATAAAAGTCAGTTCATACTTTTACGAGCATACCAAACAGATTTCTTACATGTTGAAAGGTAAAATTGTCAGGAAAAACTTTTATTAATGGTAACACAACGTTTGTCTAAGATGTTTATACACTTGCGTGCATAGAAATCGGTCCACTGTAAACTTTTCAATTTAACTATATTTTTTTTTAATTTATTCATCAGATCAAAAAAATATGCTCTTTGAAAGACAATTTAATATGCTTTAATGTTGTCTAATAATTAATGAATAACAGTAATGTTGTTTAATAATTAAAAAAAAAAATATATATATATAATAGTTAAGTCAAAAGTTTACAGTGGGCATATTTCTATGCACGCAAATATATAATGCTCGGCTGTGAATCGCCCATAAATTTGTCCAAATATTATTGATTAAGTAATATCCATTGTATAATAATTCTCTTCGATACTAGAGTTTCTAGGACGATAAACTTGTAGCTTTCTGCTGTTAGAAGATTGGAACGTCTTTTAATCGGAGAATACCACGTTGTTACAAAATTCCTCACTGTAAATTAAGAATTAATTTGCAAACTGGACTCTCCTGTGCTGGAAGATCATCTAAAAAGGTGCCATTCTGATAAAATAGGTAAAGATTTGAAATATTTCCAAACATTAAAGGAAAAATATGAAAAGAGACCCACCGTGCACAGTGAAAGCAACGATGATGGCTTGCGGGCATCTTGCAATATTTCATTACTTATCGGAAAATCTGGAAAACCGTATACCATTGGAGAACAGTTAATTTTACCTGCTGTTGAAGAGGTTTTAAAAACTGTTCTGCACAAATCTTCATTTGACTTACTCAAAAGAATTACTTTGAGTAACAACACTGTACAAAGACGTATTGATGAAATGAGCTCTGATGTTGAAAGTTTCTTGTGTGATTATCTACGAACATTTTTCTATTCAACTGGACCAGTCAACTTTACCTGGCAATGAAGCATTATTATTGGCATATGTTCGCGAAAACTTTGAAGACGGACACTAAAGATGAATCAATATTTAATGTTTTGAGTGATTTTTTTAAATAAAAATCGATTAAATTCACAAACGTTATTTCGGTGGCAACAGATGGAGCTCCTGCCATGGTCGGGCGATATCGTGGGTTTATAAGCCATCTTAAAAGAATTATACCAGAGGTAATTGCGATTCACTGTGTTATCCACCGACAACGTCTAGTAGCGAAAAATTTGAGTGATAGATTGCACCAATTGCTTCAATTTGTGATTAATGAAATTAACAAAATAAGAAGCAATGCATTGAATACGCGTTTATTTGCACAATTGTGCGATGAAAATGATGAAAACTTCCAACGATTGCTGTTACATACCGAAGTACGCTGGTTGTCGAAAGGTGCATGTTTATAAAGATTTTATTTACTTTTTGACTCAGTTTTAGAGTTTTTGGAAAGTAAAGATACTGATTTAAAAAAAAAACTTGATCAATTTTAAAGCAGACATCGCGTATTTGACAGATTTGTTCGAAAAATTTAATAACCTCAACTTACAATTACAAGGGGACAGCCTCAATTTAATAAAAACAAAGACTATAATTTCAGCTTTTCTTGGTAAATTGAAATTTTGCAGAGTTTCATTGACAATTAACTCTTACTAAGTTATCTGAATCCTTACAACTTACAAGAAACATAGATAAGGACATCATAGGCAAACAGGTAAATGTCATATTGATTATTGCGACATCAACAATCATTAATATAAATTAAAAATAACAGGGGACCTAATTTTCTTTCTTTGATGTGGTTAATTTCTTCTGATCAGGACAGCGACTCTTTTGTGCGAACTCGACACATTACATACAGAATAGAGAGAGACATTACATCAAAATCGCTGTCTGTCGAACAAAGATAGGAGTCTCAATAGGAGACGTACTGAAAGATGAGAATCCCACTACATATGTTATTTAATTTTAATCTCTCTGACCTGATACTTAGATAATCTACCTGCTGCCCCAATGCATGCTTTATAGCATAGATATAGAAACCACCTTTATACCAATACTTTTTAATTTTTTTATCGAATGGTTTTGATCAACAGAATCCAGTGCATTTTAAAGAAATACAATTAATTTTTAATTGTACATATGGCGGGTTGTACAATAGGTAGTTAAAATGTAGACTTGGTTTAAACTGTGAACCTTGTTGTATACTCATCGGTTATTGTTGAACATAGTTTTAAAAATGACATTTGTTTTTGAATATAACTAGTTAAAAATAAAACTCTTGTTAGTTAAAATATGTTTAGAATATTTTTTGTACAACCTGCTTATAATGTATTTTGTAATAATTAAAAATCATAATATTCTTGTAAGGAAGTTGGAAAGCTTAGGGTTTGATCAGTCGCTGTTGAGATTATTTTCATCTTACCTAAATCATCGTTTTAATTATGTCTTTTACAACGGATTTTCATCTTCGCCCCCCACAGCAACATCTGGAGTTCCACAGAGCTCCAATCTGGGGCCACTATTATTTAGTATATTTATAAATGACTTGGCAATAAATTTAACCTGCTGTTCGCTGCTGACTTAAAAATATTTACCTCAATCTTATCAATTCAAGACTGTTACTTTTTACAGACCCAACTTGGGAATCGTTGTAAATTGGTGTAATGAAAACAAGCTGTTTATGAATATGTCTAAATGTAAAGTATGTTCCTATACTAGAAGTATTAACAAGGTGGAGTTTGATTATTTAATTAACAGCCTACCTTTATCGGACTTGTGCACAAATTGAAGATTAAGGTATATTATTCAACCAAAAAGTTACTTTTTCGGATTATATTGAAAATACCGTTGCTTCTGCGTTGAAAAGCTTAGGATTCTTAATTAGTAATACTCGTTCTTTTACAAACTCTTAAAGCTTGGAGATCCTTTACTTTTCTTTAGTTCGTTCCAGGCTAGAATATGCATCTCTTATCTGGAACCTTATTTACAATATTCATCAAAGATCATTGGACAATGTTCAGCGGCGATCTCTCAAATAGATGAGCTGTATCCCATTCGAGGTATTGAAGAATCTCTGCTTCTTTCGAAAATAGAAGGGTAGTTTCCAGTGTTACATTTTTTTATAAAATATTACATAACACTATTGATGTACTATTTTTGATAAATTAAATAAATTTTAATGTTCCCCAAACAGCCATTAGATATCATAAAACATTTTATACAGCAAGTATTTGAATGAACCTATAACGCTAATGTCCTCAAATTTTAATTAATTTTGTTCTGATTGGGATATTTATTTCGACCATTATTTGTACTAATTTGTAGCTAATGTATTTAGGATTCTTTCTTTTCTTTTTCTTGCTGTTGCTAAAATTATTTTCTGTCGAAATATTATGTTTAACATTTATTTCATGTATTTTGTTCTGTAAATGGATTAATTTGTTGGGCAATAAAATTATTTTTATTTTATTAAGCAAAAAAACGTTTATTTT